CAAAAACTAATAATTAATATGTAACAAATAATTTGATTTGTTAATGGAAATAATGAAATAAAATATTGACATTTAGAATTGAAATTCAATTTTACCTTATCCCACATCGAATGTCAATAGAAAACTAGAAGATGATCTCTCATTTAAAAAAGAATATCATGATGGTAGAAGTCACTATTAGGCTTACTAGTAAAAATAGATGAGCCTCTAGTTAGTTCAAAATTTTTTAAAGAACATTGATTTTTTTTCCTAATTTTTATTAATTTCGGATCAAATTATCTGATCGGATATCCGATAACATAGCAAATCGGATATGGATTTAACAGTCAAATATCCGTTGGATTATCGGATCGGATATGATAATTTTTTTATTGGATCGAATTGGATATAGGCAGATCCGATCCATATCCGATCCATTTACAACCCAAGCAATGCCCCCGAAAGAGAATTTTGATTTCCTTGTATAACTAGTGTCTCAAAACCAATTTCGGATGATTAAGAAATTGTGGTCCAAAATTGAAAGGAAAAAGGTGGAAAATCGGATGACACTGTCGCTCGAGCGAACAACGAGCAACGGGCTCACTGAAAATGTAGTTAGAGCGACGAAGCAAGCAGACATCGGGCGAAAATTTGAAAACGCGCGACTGTTGGGTTTTTGCTCGCACTACTTCTTCCACAACCCTTCAACATCTATAAATAGGACCCTAGAGATGTCCCAATCTTCACAACAACGATATGCAATCATACAGCATTCATTTTCTCTCATTTCTCAACCACATTCTTGCATTCTTATTGCATAAATTCTGGTTTTCTTCACTTAGCATACCGAAGTTCGTAAACCAAGTTCTGGTCCGCTGTTTCTTGTGTGATGTAGTGTTACTCACACAAGAAGATAGTCGTTCTATCTTGCGAGTTGATTGCCATAAATTGTAGGCACCATTGCGGTACAAATTTGACTTAAGGACAAAGTGTTGAACACTTGCCTCGACTTTGATATCATTGATGCTATACTGCACATTTTTGAGGATTTGTTTGGAGTTCATATTACCGTTACTCTGTCGAAATTTCTATAGAATTTTAAAGGTAATTTGAAGGATTTCCCGACGTTCTTTATCACTCCATACACGAAATTTTCCAACGCATATCAACCTGACAACGTATGCTAACGATCTTTATATACATGTAGAGACATCTTGTGCATTGTGGTTGGACTGGAGAATGCCACATGATTAACAATTGCCGATAATACTAGTGATTTTCATGTTTTCATATCCTTTCTCGAACCGGCAATTTTAAATTCATGAATTTCATATTTGGTATTTTATATACATACCAGGTTTTGGGAACTTGACCACGAAAAATTTCCACTTTCCAAAGAGCTGGATGAAAAGATTCCAAAACTACTATTTGCATCAGATGATAGGGATCCAGAGAATGGAGATCCAAAACTTAATCGACCGTCTGTGTCAGAGCTGTTGGATAGACGAGGGGCAATATTTGTTTCTTGGCTGTCGAATGAGGCAATTGTACGATCTGTGCTTAGCCTTCTAGAGCTCACAAATGATATATCAGTCACTGCTGCTGACAATTCACTGTATGATCTGTTTGAAATTTTACCTCTAGTAAATGGTGACCTGTGTAAGTAGAGGTAGTTTGAGTTATTCACGATTTTCACTCACTCAAAGCATTTTTAGCATGTTTAATACACAGTACTAGATAATCACTGCACAAAACAAATTTGCAAAATTCAAATTCTTTTTCTTCCTTAATCTCAGCACTTGCTGTCCAATCCGATATGTTCATGTTGATATCTATTTTACTTCTGTTTATATAAATCTGCCAGTAACTTACTTGATTGAATCCTTGTCATCCATTGTAGCTACAGGTGAAAATGGTGCCTTATCAACATAATTACCTGTTGAGACACCACAGATTAGTTTTCTGTAGTAATGTCAAAATTGTATAAAGATATAAAAATCAACAAACCTACAATACATGTTTCGTATACAGTATCGGATAGGACTGGACACTATAATCATAAGATACAAGTCTTTTGTTTTTCTTTTAAGTTGTTTAGTCACGTCCAATATAGAGTACCAAACATGCTTCAAAAGGAGACCTTGCGTACTGCTTTGCACTGAACGTGCATCAGTTGACGTGAGAGGAAGGCGAGTTTGATTTTGCAGCGGATGAGGAGGTTGGTTGGGGAGTGCAATGGAGGCAGATCTCACATTTCTATAAAAAGGAAAACTATAATGTAGTACACTGCAAAACTCTGGCGCCCCCTTTGAAACGCTGCTTGGAACATCTACACTCCTGAATCTTCTGGGTTTTAGAACTGTAAGTAATGTACACAAGGCATATTAATGAACTGAAATAGCTAAATACGTACCTCGCAAAGCTACTCCTTGAAGGGGCACCCAACACCAAAGTCTCAAGCAAGGTGTTTTTAACATAGTCACAAAGGGCTCTTGCTATATCTGTATCTTCCAAAACAACTTCGGTAACTTGCATCTGTTTTCAGTTTAACAAAGGCTTCTATAGTTAGTATTGTATGGTACAGTTAATATGTTGGACATGAAACGAGTGGACACGATAGCGAATAATCTTTTACATCTCTTTGTCTTATTTTTGGTCAGTTCTGTACACTCTAGCATATACCGTACATGAAGATTCATCCATTTCTTCTCTTATACAGGTATATGAAAGCAATAGACATTTAACTGACAGCATGGAGAGCAAACTTAGAGGAGAGGGGAAGTGTTGAGACACTTTATCTAGAACTTTATATCTAAATTTTTTTAGATGAGGCAGTTTAAGTTTTGGTGCTATCTGTTTATGAAATTGTGCACGTGAATAGACTTGTTGAAGACTTAATTTAAATAAATAAACGTCTTATCTGTTACTGCTAAAGGATTTTGATAAAGTGTTTCAACAGGTATTTCTTACATTCTTACGGGTGCAGAAGCAACGATAGGGAAGGAACATCTCCTTGGTTATACTATCTGTTGGACCTTTATATGTGTTTGCATCTTCGCCACTTTCACAGAAAGAAGCTTGACTTCCCACTGAATTCACAAACAAAATCGGAGAAAATGTCCATTAGATTTACGGGAGAGATTTCTATATATGAAGTTGGAAGTGCAGGTTCGAAACTGCCAATGCTATGGCAGATCACGCAGAGAATTATTTTGCACAATTGGTTATCAAATGTTTTAGTCCAGAAAGCACATCAAATGATGCTATTTTCAGACCAAGGAAATAGAGCAAGGGTCGAACCTTTCGTGTCCCAATCCTATTTTTCCCAAGTCTATGACTAAAATGTCAGACATGCATCCGATGTAATGTTCATTAATGGAGTTTATCTCCAATCTTAACATTCATGTCAAATGTTTGACAGTATAAAACATTGATGGTTCGTCTCGATAGGATTTCAAACTATCTTGCATGTGCAAACAAGGTCTCTCCCCGGTCACGCATTGAAAATGCAACAAACCGGACTAAAATCACCTTACTGGACCCACCATCAATTCCGACGGTGATCTATTATTATTTTTCACTAATTTGAAAAAAAAAAAAGAGAGAGAGAGAGCAAGAGCGAGAGAATATTACTCGCAACAGCAATAGATGTCTTCTGTTTAACATGGATGAGGCTAACACGTTTACCCTTGCGGAGAAGATGATCAACAGCCCATTTCAATGCAGCTTGGCTCCCTTTGTCCTTGTCAATTGCCACTGCAACCATTTCTTCCTTTTTGTCTCCATTGTTCCCCTTTTGACTCATAATTTCTTGTTTTGAATCAATATTCAAAAGCCAAAACTAACCTCTTCTATAAATGTAATCAATCTTTGGACCTCAAAGAGGTCCTGAGAAATTCTCCTTTCTCTCTTCTGGATTCTTATTTATTTTCTCCCCAAATGTCTTTGAGAGGCTCTTTAATTGTTTTGTTTGTAAAGGGAATTGTTTAGTTTTTAAGAAGTTTATTAGATTCTTGTTCTTCCTAATAAGCTGGATTGTATAAAGACCATTCAATCATTTTTGCCTCTGATTTTGATCCAACTTTTGCGGGATTCATAACTTAATCATATTTGTCTTTTCAAAAGAACTTTTGACATTTATTAAATCTCCTTATTATTTAAGACCTATAAAGATAATTTTTATATTTGAGAACATGTTTGATAGCCTTACTAGAGTGAATAGGATTAATGTAGATTAAGGAATTGTAGCTATATTATATTTTTGGTACAAATTCGTAGTAAAAAAATGGGATTTCTGTTGACCGCGAAATTAGGTGAGAACACGTGGTCAACAGATCTAGGCTTTACTTCCATTCGCGTGTTAGATTCCTGCATACTCGAACAAATGTTAGTGCACGTGGGTCTTCTTCGATGATGAAGGAGGCGATCGCGAACACTCTAACGCTCAAGTCAGCCAATGATCGAAAAGTATTATTTGGGCGTGGAATAGACAATGAATAGGATCGAGAATATTTGGATCCGAGTAATCATAAAAATAGCCACTTTTATCATGCGAAATTTAAATAATTGAAGTAAGCGAGACAATCAACACTTCATATTTTCTTTTGAAAGTAGAAAAGAACTCGATCACATCGAACTTGAACTAATAAAATAATTAATTATTGTCCAATCAATTAATCATTGTGTATGGAACTCGGGTTTCGCAGAAATAGAAGTTTCCATACATCACAAGTAACTATCTAGTTTCTTTTGTAAATTTTTGCTAATTGATACTTAGCTCGTGTCCGATTTAGATATTTTTAGTATATTTTAATAAAATCTGAATGAACTTATGGTTGAAAAGTTGCGCAGCTCATGAAAAGTATAATTAAAATTAATTGTTATTTTGATTTAGATTTTAATCAATTTTTATAATTGAACCAAGTATAGGACTTGATTTAATCCTCACGTTCTATCGAGTCATAACCACCTGGCTCTATGTTTTGAAAGTCGTTCTACTTCTTTAATCGATTACTTTTTCTTTGTTATGGATGCTTGCTTGCTTTTACCAGGATTATAGTTAGTTATTTTCCAGTACTCGGGGACTTTCCACTCTCCTTCCATAAACCCTAGTTTCATGCAATCCATCCCATTCTCGACCACTGCATTGACCCCTTTAAGGAAACTCAGAAACTTCCACCCACCCCCGTAAGTTACCAATAACTGAATTGTGGAAACTGAACCAAGAACTCATCGTTTTTCAAGAAACACATTCGTGACTTTGTTACTATAAATTAACCGAAGAGGAGAACCCACCAGATTTTACTCTCATTCTTTCATCTTCATGAAATTTGCTCAAAGACGAGAAACATTCCCACCTGTTATTTTTCCTTCATTGAGAAAAATAATAGGTGGGAATCTTTCTCGCTTTTGACCCAAATTTCAGAGTTCAGATTGGGTTTTCCAAGATCCACACTCGAGGGCCATCCGGTTCTAAAGGTTCAAGAGATATTGACGAGAAAATCTTGGTTGCGTAAGGAAGGTTAACATCAAGAAACAAAAATTTTGGAAAAGATAAATATAAGAGAGGATTCTTAGGAGTGGATCGACCGCTTTTCTTGCAAATGGTAATATCTGTAATTTTATTATTGACAATTGTGCATTGAATGCAATCAATTCTTGCATTACTTTTTCTCACGACGTGTTTAAATACTAAATTATTATTGACAATTATGCCTTGAAATACAATCAATTCTTGTATTTTACTAACTTTTTCTCGTGACATTAGAGATGGTGGTGTTAGAGATGTTAAAATCATCTGGTAATGCATGTTTAAATCTTTTACAACTGGTAGCAATTGTCGCACGATCATAGATCCATAATGCAGCCAACACTTGCTTTATTTGGCTTTTAATTTCTTCAATGGTTTTTTAAATTTAAATACCTTTAATTTCTTGGTTTTGGTTCTTTTCAATATTTGATCGCAAACGTGTGTCGATCATATTGTTCATTCTCACGCACATTTTCGACTTACTATTTTTTTTATATAAAAAAATGATCTATGTTCGTTGTTCTTTATCATTACTAATTCACAAATAATGCACAAAGACACCCAGATTTGATGCAGAAAATATATGAACGTCTTTTGCATTTTCTTCAAATCCCATAATTAAAAATAAAATAAAAATTAGGTAAAATTAATTACAAAATTATCCTATTTACAAATTATATTTGGTATGAAGTCGTAATAAAAAGAAATGGGACGTCTATCTTTACATCCTATATTAGTGTTCCTCTTGAGAAATGGGTATTGTGAGACCACACTAGCCATTCCAATTTGATTGGGCTATGATTTTGAAATTGAACTGATCGAAAAAAATGAATTCATTTTAATCCACAATTATAATACATCAATTACAATTACCATTAAATTAATTTATATGAATTCCCACGAATTCGTTAGTATTCAAAATACTAACCGTTGACCCCCGAAAACGAGATCAATAAATGTCGGGTCTCACTCGCGTCTACGTAAGTTAAGACCAATTTGATGATTAACGGGGATGGCTAGATGGGTCGCGAGCCATATAATGTTTGAATCCGAGCTTTCGGTCGATATACACAAGAACAATCACTTTCAACAAGAAACGGAATATGTGTGGATAAGTATACAGATCCGAGTTAAACTATTTTAAGAACACAAGAATTTGAATACAAAGTTAAGAGAATTTGTTGGGCTTTATCTCTTTTATTGTAGAGGCATTAGGCCCTACAATGATACAATGAGAAGCTATTTATAAGGTTATAAACACAACTCAGACCATCGGATGAGGTACACATGACATCATCTAACTTGCCTAACTGTCCCTTCACATACGTCTCTATCACCCACTTGCACTATACAAAAAGGTTATGAGAAGAGCCGTCCTACGGCCCTATTTTGAATCTCACACTTGTCACATCAATTGCTTACAGTAGATCTTCATTGAGATCTTCCTTTGATCCGAAGCTCTTTCTAGCCGATGAGGCTTTGAGAAGGGCTTCGGAGAGTAGGACTTCGTCTGAAGAGAGGCATTTCGAGCTTCTTCTTGTTGATTCACTTCAGGCCTCTATGGGCTTCGGTCAACTTTGACTTCGGCCAAGTGGGTTTGACTTGAGCCTCATCAATAGGAGGAGTAACACTAACATCTTTTATCGAGCAAATGGAAATAGTTAAAGTGAAACAAGAAAATTTACCCTTCACCTTTTCTTTTGGAAGTATAAAAAAATTGGATTACACCAAAGTTGAACTAATAAAATAATTGGTTGTGCTCCAATCCAATTCATTAATGGAACATGCTACTTGTACATAATGCGATGTCTACAACGATGTCCGTCCCCTCACGTGGAGGGAGATCCAATTCGGATATATTATATTTTATTCGAAGTGGGGTCATATCGTGTTGCATTCTATTTTTTATTTCTATTTCTATGCAATCTATGTTCCATAAATATTAACGAATGAGTGATGCTACACGTACATAATGTGGTTGAGATATTTTCAAGATCCACTCTCGAGGGCCATCCGGTTCTAAAGGGTATTGAGATATTGACGAGAAAATCTTGGTTGCGTAAGGATGGTTAACATCAAGAAACAAAAAATTTGGAAAAGATAAATTCAAAAGAGCTAGAGGAAAAGATTTGCGACAAGGCTAGACGGATTCTTAAAAGTGGTTCAAACCCACATTTCTTGCGACCAGTAATATCTCTAATTTTATTATTGATAATTGCCCCAAAATACGATTGATTCTTGCATTCTTTTAACTTTTTCTTGTGACATGTTTAAATACTATATTATTAGTGACAATTGCTCCTTGAAATACAATCGATTCTTGTATTCTACTAACTTTTTCTTGCGACGTGTTTAAATCTTGGTAAAAGATTTAGAGATGGTGGTGGTAGAGATGTTTAAATCAACTGGTAATGCATGTTTAATTTCTTTGATGATTTTTTCAATTCCTTTAATTTCTCAATATTTGATCCAAGTTTGGCAAACGTGTGCGTGTGTCGATCGTATTGTTCATTCTCAAGCACTTTTTCATTACTAATTCACAAATAATGCGCAAAAGACATCCCAGATTCGATGCAGAAAACATATGAACGTATTTTGCATTTTTTGTTTTTATAAATTATGTCACCTTTCAAATCCCACAATCAAAAATATCAAATGAAGTAAAATTAATTACAAAACTATTCTATTTTAACAATCAATTAATCATTTATACAAACTTCTGGAATTATATTTGATATTAAGTTGTAATAAAAAAATTGAGACTTTTATCTTTACATCCTACATTAACGTTCCTCTTGAGAAATGGGTAATGTGAGACCACACTAGCCAGTTCATTTTGATTGTGGCTATATCTTTGAAATTGAAGTCGTAGAAAAAATTTAATTTGGTTTAATCCACAATATTAATACATACAATACCATTAAATTAATTTATATGAATTCATACACTACAACAAAATTGTGATTTCGCGACAAAAAACTGTTGTCGCAAAAATAGAGATTTTGTTACAAAAATAATTTCGTGACGACAATTGTTTGTTGCAGGCTTTGTCGCGCTATATTAGTAACGGAATGTATTATGCGACAACTTACGACCATTAATCTCATTAACAAAATTGCAACATTATTTGTTTCATGTAGAAAATATGAAATAGCAACACCATATTTGTAGTCATAATGTTGTCACAAAGCATATATGTCGCGAAAAATTAAAAGGATGACAAGTCAGTTTGTAGCAACAATTATTCAAATAAAGTTTTTACGAGAAATATGTTT